GAGTCCATTACTTGTCAATCATTTTTACCCCTTTCCTTGTTGTTGTCCCACTATCCCTTCCCGCCCCCCCCCCCCCGCCTCTCTCCCATCCCCCCCCCCCCCCATGAAGTTGTAAAGTTCATTCCCAACATACTGTCCTGTGGGTATCCTTGTTGCAATGGGTCATCCTGTGTCCTTGTTTCAGCATCATTTCCCTCCCCCTCCCCAGATTAGACAAATGTGTATATAAGATACAGGGTACCAAAATCAAGTAGTGACAACAGGAGATATGCCATAGGCAAAAGAACGTACAAAGGAAACAACAACAAAATCACATGGTACATTTAAAACAATAACAATAAAGACAGACTTCTTGTGTCCATATCTTGGGGTTCATTTCACTTAGCATCATCTTATGTGTACATAAGATGTGTACATATGTACATTGCTTTTCAGCTCATCTGATAAGATTATCCTATATGTATACTAATTATTGCAAATAAGGGAAACCATGGTACCTAAATTTCTTTGGGACTGGGTTACTTCACTTAATGATTTTTTCCAAGTATTTCCATTTCCTAACAAATGGGGCAGTGTCATGCTTTCTAATGGAAGCATATAGATAGATAGATAGATAGATAGATAGATAGATAGATAGATAGATAGATAGATAGATAGATAGATAGATAGATATAGATATAGATATCTATCTATCTCATTCTTTTGATCCACTCATCTACTGAGGGACATCTGGGTTGGTTCCATATCTTAGCTATGATGAATAGTGCTGCAATAAACATAGTTGTGCTGGTAGCTTTAGTATGGCCTTGTTTGTGATCATTAGGGTAAATGTCCAGAAGTGGGACTGCTGGGTCATAGGGGAGCTCTATGTGTAGTCTTTTGAGGATTTCCAGAGTGGTTGGACAAGTTTATACTCCTACCAACAGTGCAGTAGGGTTCCCTTTTGGCCACATCCCCTCCAGCATCTGTCATTATATTTTTTGATGATAGTCATTCTAACTGGAGTGGAATCTCAAATTTTTTGTTCTTGATTTTTTTTTAAAATTTTTTGTCAATCGTGGGGACTGAACTCAGTCTGGGAGCTGTCCCTCAGCTCTTCAGCTCAAGGCTAGTGCCCTACCACTTGAGCCACAGCACCACTTCTGGCTTTTTTTTTTTTCTTATGTGGTGCTGAGGAATCAAACCCAGGGCCTCATGCATTCAAGGCAAGCACTCTACCACTAAGCCAACTTCCCAGCCCTTAATGTTGTTTTGATTTGCATTTATGGGTAGAGAAGTTGAGCATTTCTTCATGTGTCTTGGCCATTCTTATTTCCTCCTCAGAGAAGTCTCTCTTTAAGAAATGAACCCACAGACCTACAGCCACCTAATCTTCGATAAGGGAGCCAAAAATAGAATGGAAGAGACAGTCTCTTCAGTAAATGGTGCTGGCAAAATTGGTTAAACACCTGTAGAAAACTAAAATTAGATCCTCTTATATCACCCTGCACCAGAATGGATCAAAGACCTGGAAGTAAAAGCAGACACCCTGAAAACATTACAGGAAGGAATAGCAGAAACTCTAGGGTTCCTTGGCAGAGGCTGAAATTTTCTTAATAAAGATCCAGAAACACAACAAATCAAAGAAAGGTTGTACAAATGGGATTACATGAAACTGCAGAGCTTCTGCATGGTTTTGCCATTTTCTAAGTTCTGTTTTGATTTCCTTTTTCAAGATTTTAAAGTTTTTATCATAGAGGTCCTTCACTTCTTTGGTTAAGTTAATTCCTAGGTATTTTATTTTTTGTGGGGCTATTACAAATGGAGTTGCTTTCCTAATTTCAGCCACACTTTTCTCATTGTTGGCATACAGAAAAGCCATTGATTTTGGGGGGGTTAATTTTATACCCTGCTACTTTGCCAAAGTTTTGAATCAGCTTGAGTAATTTGGGAGTGGAGTCTATGGGATTCTTTAAATACAAGATCATGTCATCTGCGGTAGCTGAAGTATTTGTAACAGAATGAAATGTCATCATAAATGCTCATCGTCTGACTAAGTAGCGCCCCACTTCAGATGAAGCCCTCGGAGCACTATTTTGTGACTCGCAGAACAGATCCTATGAAATCCAGAGGTCCCTTTGGTAGGCACATCAGTCTCCCAGGTGTCCGAATAATGCTCTTCTATCTCCTGGCTTTGTAGAGTAGGCTATGTCCGAGGGAACAGCTGCACAGAGCCGGCCACACTCCCTCAAGCCCCCAGGGTTAAACTCAAAAGCAAGGCCAGGTTGTGGGTGAGGAGTGAATTCCATGTTGGAACACTGCTCCACTCAGTGGGTTAATAACCATCCCCAAAGTCCCAGGCCTAATTCAACCCAGCGCTGCAGACCACCCCCTACAGCTCTTGCTCTTCTCTCGTCCTCTTGTTCACATGGATGCATTCTCTGGGCCATGCGTTCTGGATCACCTGTTACTGCTTTTCCCCCACTGCCTCCCAGAGCCCCTTTGTGAAGCCACTCGTTCATCCTTCATGTCCTGGACCAGTGCTCTCTCAGTGTGTGCACAGGTGTATCGTGAACCCCACGGTGTTGGGGGAATGCTCAGGCCTGACCATTGGTGGAGATCAGAGGTTTGCAAACATGGGAGACTTCCACCAGTTAACACTGAAGCAAAGTGCTTGTTTCCTCTCCTCCTGTACCAACTACAGTACTGGCTTATTAGAGTACTTAGTGCACTGCTTTTGATGTGAAAGTTTTTGGCATGGTGAGTAGACCATGAAACACATGACACGTGTCCACTGCAGATGTGGCTTTAGCCTGGATGTGTGCCTTCATGTGAAACTAGTAGAACCAGTGCCATGGTGCTGTCTTTGCCATTCAGCCCATGGCACAACCTTGGCCCACTTAATTGTTAAACTCGTTTCTTTTCATCTTAGAAATAACAATTCCTCGTGGCATTGCTACAAGGATTTAATAAGTGAACACAAACAAAGCCATGATGGAATGCCTGGTGTGCAGCACCAAAGACTTACTGCCTGTCATTCTGTGATTGATTTCTCTGCTCTATTCTGGATTATGGATTGTTCCGCTATATTCAGAGGCCCAACAACTAAAGCTCTCAGGTTTCACTAGAAAAAATGTCTGTGATGCTAAACTGTCCCACCCCATCATGGTTCTTTGTCTGGGCCTTATCACCCACAGGGCTCAAAGAGAGCCTGCCAGGCCCAGCCATCTCCTCTGCTATCTCCTATTGTTTCTACCAATACTGTCAAAGTTCTTCCTCTGCTTGTATATTTGCAGGACCAAGTCATATGAAACTTCATGTCTCCTGAGTTTCACAAGAAAGTTACTAACTCCCATGATCTTGACTTGGAACGAAAGAAAAATTAACAGCTCAACGATTGCTTTCCTTATTAATTCATCCAAACAGACCTAAGATGCAGATAGGAAAGACCTGTGAAAAATATATAAAATCCAAAATACTGTGAGACTTCTTTTCTGACATTGGCTGTTTTTATTTCATTGTTGATTGTCTTTCCAATCACAGCCAGCTCCACTACCTGGAAATCCCATGATTTATTTGCTCAGGAGTTGAAGCAGCCGGTGCCGGGCACTGTCCCCTTATGCCGACACTGTCCCCCATGCTGGGCGCTGTCCCCCATACCAGGCACTGACCTCTCACCCCGTGTCTCCTGTGTCAGTGGCACAGTGCCAAGGCTTCTTGTGACAAGAGTTCATTAGCCACAGTCTTTCTGAGAAACACTTGGTGTAAATGTGGGCCCATGTTGATTGTTTCCTATAGACCTAGGGGTTGCCTGTAGCAAGGAATGAAACTAGCAAGTGCTCCTTCCTCCATTTTCTTCACTTTTCAAGCCCATAATTCCCCTCCTCCCCTCCTTTTTTTTTTTTGGTTGCTCATGGGTCCTGAAATCTGGGTCTGGGCGCTGTCCCTCGGCTCTTCAGCTCAAGGCTAACGCTCTACCACTTGAGCCACAGTGCCACTTCCAGCTTTTTCTGCTTACATGGTGCTAAGGAATCGAACCCAGGTCCTCATGCATGCAAGGCAAGCACTCTACCACTGAGCCACCTTCCTAGCCCTTCATAATTCCCTTTTCAAAGAGATTAATCTTGGCATAATGATGCTATTTGATTTGTTCATTCATCCTCTTACCTTCCAAGATAAACTGTGAGGGACTTTGCCTGTACCATATTCTGTCTTCTGTCCTACTCTCTCTCCTCCTCAAGGCCTGAAGGGAGTTTTCTCTCTCTTTTCTGAGACAGCTGAGTAGATCTTGATTCAACATACTTGATCTTAAATAATGCTAGGCTCTGTGGGGTGTTTTTGTTTTTGTTTTTTGTGATCCTCTTCCCAACGTGTCATCCTAAAATCCTGGAAAACTCTCCTCTCCCTCCCTTCCTGGAGGCCTTCACTCCAGACAAGTGGTCTTTCTTTCCTCTTCCCTGACAGCCAGCTCAGCACAATGCTATAGAGTTTCCAGGGCTACAAAAGCCAGCCAGTACTGAAATGCTAAATTCTGGGGTTTCAGCAGACATCGTTCTCCCACCCACAAAGTCCACATGCAAATTCAAGATTAAAGTCTAAGTTCCACACTTCTATACTGTGTTCATCAGAGTCCTGCGAGATTGGCCCAAAACAAAAGAAAGCTAAACCTTCTCCCTCCCAAGTCTCTTGGGTGCAGTCTTCCAATAAAAATGTGCTGAAGATTAACCTCCTCACAGAATGTTCCAGGTTCCCACTTAAGTTCTTTCTTTGGACTTGTGTGATTCTTTCTTTGGACTCATGTAAGATTTGTTCTAGAAAAGCCTCTATGAACCTGACTATACGTTAATGTCCATTAATTAGAGTGTTTGACTTAATTGACTCTTCTCTTTTTTATAAGTTTTTTATGGTTTTTCTTTTTTCTTTTTGTCTCTTTGACTTGGAGAGTTTTTGGATACATTATTTAAATAGAAGTTTGTTTGACATATGCGTATACATTTATCTTTCCTTTGTTTTTTGCACAGGGACCTCCTGGTTTACAAGGAATACAGCAGACCTTTGGCAGCTATTTTAACAAGGTTTGACTAATTTGTTTCCTGCATCTTGTATACAGAGAGATTGTATGTGATTCTGCCTTTGCGGGGTGGGGTGGGGGGGAGCTTTATTAATGCCTAATTTCTCAGACATGATCGTATGTACTCAATATCTTCCCATATTGAAAGCTGTCTCTGGATATAAATGTTTTTAAAATATTTTACTCAACATGTTATTATAAACCTAGAGTTTTATTTCTATTTTCATTTTTATATTATTTAGTGCTGGTATTGAATTGAAGCTTGAATTCTGCTCTTGCTTACCTTTTTGACACAAGGCTGGTGCTCTACTACTAGAGCCAATGCTTTTTTTGCTGGTTATTTGGAGATAAGAGGCTCACAGCATTTTCTGCCTGGGTTGGCTCCAAACCATGATACTCAGATCTCAGCATCCTGAGTAGCTAGGATTATGGATGTAAGCCACTGGTGCCCACTGGTGGGCAAAAACAAAGTTTACCTGCATGTTTGCTAATGCAAATAAATTGCTTCTATCCCTAAAAATGGCTTTTCTAGGTTCTCTAAAGGCAGAGAAATATTGCTGGCCATCCTGAAGCTCTGGGTGAGAGTCAAGAAGTAGAATTCTTACCAAAATTACTAGTGTCAGGCACAGGCTCCCATTCCAGCTGCTCTGGGTGAAAGCAGCATCAACTCCTGCGGTCTTCATCCCTGCTGGATTGGTGGATGGCCGACAGGGAAAGCACCCTGAATGCCAGTGTGGAAACCTCATCCCACTCAAGGACTTCAGGGTGTCATTGAGAGGGTCATCCTCCAGTGCCCAGTGCATGGGGGCTGCCCGAGGGGGCCCGAGGGGACACGGGGGCTGACCTGAGGGGACACTGGGACTGACTCGAGGGGACACGGGGGGCTGACCCGAGGGGACACGGGGGGCTGATCTGAGGGGACACTGGGACTGACCCGAGGGGACACTGGGACTGACCCGAGGGGACATGGGGGGCTGACCCGAGGGGACACTGGGACTGACCCAAGGGGAAACTGGGACTGACCCGAGGGGACACTAGGACTGACCCGAGGGGACACTGGGACTGACCCGAGGGGACACGGGGGCTGACCCGAGGGGACACAGGGGCTGACCCAAGGGGACACGGGGGCTGACCCGAGGGGACACTGGGACTGACCCGAGGGGACACTGGGACTGACCCGAGGGGACATGGGGGCTGATCCCAGGGGACACTGGGACTGACCCGAGGGGACATGGGGGGCTGACCCAAGGGGACACTGGGACTGACCCAAGGGGACACTTGGAATGACCCGAGGGGACATGGGGGCTGATCCCAGGGGACACAGGACTGACCCCCAGGGGCATGAACTGGCCCAAGGGGCATGGGCTTGCCCAAGAGGACACACAGACTGATCTGGGGGAACTCTGTTCAGTGGACAGACAAACAGCAGGTCATCACTAATACCCCGTGCCACAGTGAAAACTGGAGACAGCCCCCTCCCCAGTTTCCTTGGCAGCCCTCCTCTCCATGTCTCCTCAGCAGTCCCCGACTCTCTGTCTCCTCAGTAGTCACCCCTTTCTTTTTGCTTCATGTCACTACTGCTGCATATCTCTTAACAAATCTCAAAGGTGCAATATTCTAGCCCAGGTTTCAAGGAAGCTGGAGAGCCACAATAATCAATAGCAAGATAATTAACACAAAATCCCAATTCTTTGTTTATCAAATTAATGTCAACATAACAATGTAGGTAATTAGAGGTGCATCAATTTAAAATCAACCAGGAGCTCTTGGCTCATGCCTGCAATCCTAGCTACTCAGGAGGCTGAGATCTGAGTCTCCTAGGTTGAAGCAGCCCTGGAAAGAAAGTCCATGACAAAAAAAAAAAAGTGGATGTGGAACTATCACTCAGGTGGTAGAGAACCAGCCTTGAGCAAAAAGCTAAAGTGCAGCACCCAAGCCCTGAGCTCAAGCCCCAATACTGGCACCAGCATTTTAAGGAGAGGAAGACAGACAGGTAGACAGACAGACTAAGGAGTGTGGTCTAGAATATTCTATGTGTGTGTTTTTTATGTTCAGTTTTGGATGTGCGGAATAAAAAAGCTAGACTTACCTCTCCACCACACAAAGCAGTTTACAGCACTGCCTATCACAGTCGACAGGTGCCCCATTCTGCATTGTTGCTTCCCAGAGAAGCATCCGCTCCAGCCTGCTCCTCCCCTGAAGATGCAGCGAGCAGCCTATGGTGTCTGCCTTTGGGGACTTGAGCATAGGTCCCTTAGGCCCTGGCTGGGGAAAGCAGGTTTACCTGTGGGGTGTCATCCCAGCAAGCAGTCCTAGTGACCACTTGTCCAGTGTTGACCAGAAGAGAATTTGATGCCAGGCACCTGCAATCCTAGCTACTCAGGAGACTGAGAGCTGAGAATTGTGGTTTGAAGATAGCTTGGACAAAAAAGCCCATGAGATTCTTATCTCCAATTAGCCACCAAAAAGCTGGAAGTGGAGCTGTGGCTCAAATGGTAGAGTCCTAGTCTTGAGTGAAAAAGCTAAAGGACAGTGTCCAGGTCCTGAGTTCAAGCCTTAGGACTGAGAGCGTATGCATGTGCACGCGTGTGTGCACACACACACGCACGCACACATACACACACACACACACACACACACACACACACACACACACACACACGATCTTGCAAAAACAGATCATATCGCTTGAGCCGCAGTGTTGCAGAGGTGTGCCTGTGTCCCACTGCTGTGTCTCTGGCTGTGGCCTCTGGGTTGTTGGGCTGCACAGTGTTGTTCTGCTCTGCTCTGCAGTCTAAGAGCCTGGGCCCCATCCAGAGATTTTCTCAGTTAGCTTTGTCCCTGTCCCTGCTTCCCTAACAGTATTAGAGCAAAATCAATGCTGATTGACTTGTGCATAGGACTGACAAAATCGTGTTTTCAGAATACCTCAAATTTCAATTCAAGCCTCGTTATCAGTACACAGGCATGCACACACACACACACACACACACACACTTCTGGAAAATAAAAGCTTGCTTTGATACTCCGAGAAAAGATCTAAAAGTGATTGTGTAGCACTGTCAGTCACTTCTGTGCCTTAGATTTTGCTGCCAGTGTGGAGGCGAAGTCTTGGAACCCAGCACTTTGGCATACATGGCCTTGCGTCCCAGCCATCACTCCTGGACATGCGGGCTGGCGGGGCTGGGGGGCACAGCCTGTCCCGCAGGCTGCCCAGACCAGCGGGGCACATGTCCCAGGCCACAGCTGAGCCAGGGGGAGGGTGGCGACATGTTTAAGGCATTTAAATGACAGTGCATTTCTTGAAACAAAACAGCTGGCTTCTGCTTGCACTCTTCCTCAGGAAGCATGTGCTACTGAGGAATTCTCAAGACCTCACCCCTGAGAAATCTGATTCCCAGAAACAGGTGTTTGTCAGACTCTGAGGGCCTTTCTCGATTGCTCAAAATCTTCTCTAATTGCTTCAGAATCTTAAGTGGAATTTAAAAAAGACAATGGCATGGCCATTTTCTCGTCCTCCCTTCCCCGCCCCCCAATACATAGCCCAGAAGAATCTATGGAGAACTTCATAGGAAGGAAGGCTCTAAAAGTTTGTAAACAAGGAAAAGACTCAATGCATAAAATAAGCTAACAGAAAGTGAGCATAGAAATAGCTAGAAGAGTGAACCCAACTGTACTCAAACACATCAACTCTGGGTTAAAGTAATTGTTTTCAAAATACATTTTTCATGTGTCATCAAGTCATCACATTGCAAATTCCCTTGCGTTGTTTTCTCACAGATTCTTGCTGGAACCTGTGTGATTCCTCAGCTCTTCAAAATCCCAGTGGTATATTAGAATTACATGGAAACATTTAGAAAATAAATCTGGATGCTGGTGGTTCACAGCTGTAATCCTGGCCTTTTCAGAGCCGAGATCTGAGGTTTGCAGTTCAAAGCCAGCCAAGGGAGCAAAAAGCTAAGCAAGAGTACAAGGCCCTGAGTTCAGCCCTAGTGCTGACATAAAGAAAGGAAGAAGGGCTGGGAATGTGGATTAGTGGTAGAGTGCTTGCCTAGCATGCATGAAGCTCTGGGTTCGATTCCTCAGTACCACCTAAACAGAAAAAAAAAGAAAGAAAGGGAAAAAGGAAGAAAAGATAAGGAAAGAAAGAACAATGTTGAACCAAAAAAAGCCCAATGTACAGAATGTTAGAGATTTGAGTAAAAATATACATTATATATAATATACATATTGTATGTAATATATATTATATAGCATGAATCCCATTGAAAGAAATAGCTTTAAAAGGGGAAGAGATGATGGAATAAGAAAAAAATATTAGGGGGAACGAGTTTGATTTAAGTTCCTAATGTGCATGTATGGAAATATCCTTTTGTATAATGAATGATAATTTTAAAAAGATAAATCTCTATGGATATTATTTTAAACACTTAAATTACTATATTTTGTAATTCCCCATGCCCAGAAAAGTATAAAAATGTAGACTGAAAGGTAAATACTAAATTCACAAGGGCGGGAGTACAGAGGGAAATACAGAATATGTTTTCTTCGTAAATCTGCTAATTACACTTTAAGCACCTTGTTTACTAAAGCTTGGTGTCAGCTTTGTGCTTTTTGGTACAGAGATGTACCAAAGTACAGAAGTGTAAAAGAGAATGTCACCATGCAAAGACTCCTGAGGTTGAGGGTGTTGGTATTCAGCATCTCCTAATAGCCTCGTTTCACCATTTGGGTCTGCCGAGTCCCATTAGTGACAGAATTCCTTCCTGTGAGGATTCCCACTCACATTGTTGAAAACGCAGCCTTTGTGCCACATGCCAATCCCTCTGGCAGAGGTTTGAGCAGAACTTAGCAGACATTTCTAAACATTCTGAGCATTTCAAATGGCCTCCATTGACCAGAACGCCTTCTTAGTCGGCGCTGGTCCACGCAGCAGGCCTGCCGGGCTGCCAGAGGATTGTTTTCTCTCTCCCTCAGTAAAAAGAAAGAAAAGGAAGTCACAAGCAGGTTTTTAATTGCATTTGATATGCCAAATCAAAATTTGTTTCTACGCGAAGATGCTCTTTCTCTGAAAAATAGTGGTGTGTCACATGAGTGTTACATATCATAATGGAATGTTCCAGGTTGGGAAGAGCCAAAGGTGCTGGGGAGTGCCCGCAGCACATTGTTAGGGTATAGCCCGATTCGTAGATGATTTGTGGTGGAGAGAGCCTGACCCCTGAGTAGTGCTGGTCTGATGGCATGTGAAAATTGCCTGCAGTCCTAGCTGCTCAGGAGGCTGAGATCTGAGAACCCAGGTTCCAAGCCAGCCTGGCAAGGAAAGTCTCTGATCTCCAACTAATCAGCAAAAAGCCAGAAGTGCAGGCGCGGCTTAAGCAGTAGAGTGGCAGCCTGGAGCGCAAAAGCCAAGTGAGAGCTGGAGGCGCGCGCATTTGTGCACACACACACATACAAACACACACACACACACACACAATTTAAAAAATCACCCTTCTTCTTGCTTTCTCAGGGTGAAACCGGGCTGCCAGGGTTCCTGGGGTCTAAAGGACAAAAAGGAGAACCTGTGAGTATTTCAACTTTGAGCCCAGAGAAAAATATCAAAAGAAAAAAACATACTTTTCCAGAGCAACCATAATTTCATAGTCTGTGGTTTTCTCTTTTATTTGATGAGTCCAGACAGACAAAAAACAAACGTTCCCCCCTGATCTGGCCAGTGCATAGCTCAGCTGCCAGAGAGTTCAGAGCAGCAGAGTGGCCTGGGCCCTGGCACAGCAAGGAGAGAATCTGGGCCAGACCCTCACATAGCTGGAGGAGACAGGAGAGAGTGTGGCAGAGCAGGAGAGCAGGTGCATAGATAGCCCCTGCAGACAGCTTGCAGAGATGGGGCAGGCTGCCCTCGCCAGGCTCAGCAGCCTCTGGGGACCGCGGCCAAGCTGCTCCAGAGGAGGCCCTGCCTTAGCATCAAGATGTGCTACCACTGTGCCGGGCTGGTGCACGCAAGGCCGCCACTGCCAGGGGAGACACTGGACACCTTTTCTGGCACAAGCAGGCAGTTAGCTCATTGTGCCATTGCCACCCTAGTGAAGGGACACAGCGTCCAGAAACAGCTTCTCCTGGGAGCAAGGAAGAATCAATCACCCATGCCTGGTTCTGTCTTTCTGGGGAACCCTGCAGCCCAAGTAGAAGGGGAGACGAGCAGCAGCACTGCCATCGCCACTCCTGTGGGACTCTGCTCCTTCATCTGTCTCCTCTGATTTCTGTTACTTCTGATTCTATGTATGTGTTTTTTTTTTTAAGCAGGCTTTGTGAATGGCTTGCCTTTTATTTTAAAACTTGTTAGGGGCTATCATGCAACAACTCTCTAAGCCTTGGTTGTGTGAAGCAGGTATTTTTAGCTATTGGTATGAGTTACCAGGTGTGAATGCTCCACTATGAAACATCATACTGCAGAATTAAAATCGATGATGCCTTTTGTCAAAGTTCTGATAGTGATGCAAATTATATTTATCAAACAGGTGAATATGCAATAGAAAATAAGAAATGCATATTGTACTCTTGGATTATCTTACTATTTTTCTGCTTATTTAAAATTAAGCACCTATTCCTGATAGAAGGGCCACCAGCAAACATTGCCTTCAAGTCTCTTCCCAACCCTCATCTGAAGCTTTAATTCTCTGGGAAATGTAATCTGAGGCAAATTGTAACCATACCAGCTAAGCCAAGAATGCAGGGATGGCTACTACAACCATGGCAGCCAAGTGTGGTGGCTCACACCTGTAGTCCTAGCTACTTGAGAGGCAGAGTTCAGGAGGATTTGAGTGGTTTGAGACCAGCCTGGGCAAAAAGTTACCAAGACCTTATCTGAATCAATAAGCCAGGTGCAGTGCCGTGCCCCTCAGTGCAGGCTGCAAAGGAGGCCGAGTGTAAGAGGATTGAGGTCTGAGGCAGGCCCTGGGGTGCAGAGGGCTATGGGCTGACTCCAGTGGTAGTGTGTGGTGTCTGTGAGGCTCTGAATTCAAATCCTAGCATGAAAATGTGTCCCTAGGGCAGCAAGGCTAGAGAAAGTAAAATACATGAGTGCTTCTTGATTGGCCACAAGTGTTCCAAATCAGGTGCTGTGGCCACGCCTCCTTGAGGCAGCCCCTGGTGTCAGTGCACAGCGCTCACACCCTCCCTTCCTTCACAGGGGGCGCCTGGGGCAGGCGGGTCCCCGGGGATGAAGGTGAGTGCCTGGCGTCCTTGCCCTCGTGTGGCCACACCGCAGCGAGCCTCTGAATCTGGCCGTAACTCTTGACTCTCCCTCCCACTGGCATTTTAGGGAGAACTGGGAGACACGGGTCCACCCGGCTGGCCGGGGAGCCCAGGACTGAAGGTATGGCTGCTGATGGGGTGGGGTGGGAAGGGCAGCCACACCCTCTCCAAGTTTGAAAGGAGCCTGGGTGTAGCTCCCGGGGACCTTGTTCAGGGCGATTTTCCCACCGGGCTTTATCACAGCTGTAGCAACCTCTGCTTCACCACAGGAGTCAAAACTTCTTTTTTCAGCGCACATAGCATCCCTAAAAGACTTCCCACGTACACACAGTCGGCTAAATCCATGATCCTGAGCTGCACCCGTGAAAGGACTGGGATCCAGGGTGCTGTCTCTAAACCACAAGTACCCAGCATCCCGAGAGGGAGAGGCTGAGGCTCCCAGCTCTGCGCCTGCGGGAGTGCCCAGAAAGAGCCTTGTGAGGGAAGGGCAGGAGAGATGTGCACTGTGGGCTCCCAGCCGTCCCTGCTGGTAAAACCAGAACCATTAGTGAAACATCTAGAACCACCTTAGTATCCCCAGAGGAGATGCCAGCATCAGGCATAGAAGATGAGGCATTGGGAAGTCTATACCGGTCACATCCTGTTCTACAGATACTCAGGTTCAGGATGGGCATGGTGGCACATGCTTCTAATCCCATCTACAGGAGAGTAATGAGTTAGAGACCATCCTGGGCAAAGTTTATGAGACTCTACTTTCAAACAAAAGAAAAATAAAAGAAAGAGGGACATAGCTCAATTGCTAGAGTACTTGCGTAGCAAGTGTGAAGCCCCCACCCTCCTAAAAACATTCAGGACTAGGTCTTTTCAACAAAGGAAGAGCAAGCCACCTTCTATTTCAGGGTGAGCAAGGACCGCCCGGCACCATGGGGCCGCAAGGACCGTGGGGAGACGTCGTAAGTACTGTCATCAGTTCCTGGAAATTAAGATGTGGGAAGTTGTAGGTGCTCATGTAGCTGAGTTGTGCTACATTTCTCAAAGACATAGCTTCCTGTCCCCCACAGAACCTCAGCTCATCCCGTGTCCTGTCATGTCCACAGAGCCCCAGCCCACCCCATGCTCTGTCATGTCCACAGAACCCCAGCCCACCCAGTGTCCTGTCATGTCCACAGAGCCCCAGTGCACCCCATGTCCTGTCATGTCCACAGAACCCCAGCGCTTTCTGTGTACTGTCGTGTCCACCCCGAACCCCAGCCCACCCCAAGTCCTGTCATGTCCACAGAGCCCCAGCCCACCCCATGCTCTGTCATGTCCACAGAACCCCAGCGCTTTCTGTGTCCTGTCGTGTCCACCCCGAACCCCAGCCCACCCCGTGTCCTGTCGTGTCCACAGAGCCCCAGTGCACCCCCTATCCTGTCGTGTCCACCCTGAACCCTAGCACATCCCCTGTCCTGTCATGTCCACAGAGCCCCAGAGTACCCTGTGTCCTGTCATGTTCATAGAACCCCAGCGCATCCCATGTCCTGTGATGTCCACAGAGCCTCAGCCCACTCTGTGTCCTGTCGTGTCCACAGACCCCCAGTACACCCCGTGTCCAGGGCTACTTGTAGAACTCCCTCCACACAGCCCCTGCAGGGTTCTTGAGGAGTCAGCCCAATAAACTGGTCTGGGAAACTGAATGACTGCATTGGCCATGCACACAGAGGGTTCTTGCAGTAAAACTGGAAATGTCAGGACATAAAGAAAAGCCAGAAGAGAGCCAATGTCCCAGCATGGATCCCCACCTATGGAAAGCACTGGAAGCATCTGCTGTCTTCTGCTCTCCTCATGAGAGCCTCCTGCCCCCTGAGAGCAAGTCTGAGAGCTGAAAGATTTGTATCTCTGTCTCCCCTCCCTTCACCTTCCCTTCCCTTCCCCTTTCTTCCTTTACCTCTCCCCTCTTCCCCTTCTCATACCCTCCTCTCTTTTCCTTCTCTTTCTTTGTGTGCCAGTTGGAGGGGAAAACTGAGGCTTGAACTCAGGTCCTGGGTGCTGTCCCTGAGCTTTTTGGCTCAAAGCTGAAATTCTACCACTTGAGCCAGAACTCTACTTCCAACTTTTGGCGGTTAATGGAATGAAGATAATTCTGTCTCTGTCTCTTTGGCTGTTTCTCTCCTCTCTCTGTCTCTTTGTCTGTCTCTTTGTCTGTCTGTCTGTCTGTCTGTCTGTCTGTCTGTCTGTCTGTCTGTCTGTCTCTCTCTCTCTCTCTCTCTCTCTCTCTCTCTCATTCCATTATATCCAGTCAGCTTCACTTAGAACAAATCACCTATCTCAACTGTATTTTTCCTACCAGGTCCAAACCAACCCATCTCCCTAGAGATGGTTAAATTCTGCTCTCTTAGGAAGATTCACAGATGGAATGGTGATCCTGATGATCTTGATAACAGATGTTCCCATTGCATGTTCCCTTTAATTCTGAATTTTCCAGGGATTGCCGGGGGAGCCGGGGACTCCAGGAAAGCAAGGCGATAAAGGAGAGAAGGTACAGTTTACACATCCCTGGCTGTGTGGAGTACAACACACTCAGGGTCATGGAAGTTCAGGGTGAGATGGCCTGGGGTTCAGGGGAGACATTCACATAAGATAAGCCCTGGACAGTTGGGCTGCAACTGTGCACTGCGGCTGTCCTGGCCCTGCCTGACTGTGTGCTGCGGCCAGCCCAGCTCTGCCAGAACCTTCGTGTGCCCAGAGGAGTACAGCTAGAGATAAAGACAGAAGACAGGAGGGGTCATCTAGAGAGGACAGAGGACACAGAGGCTGTCCACACAGACACCAACTCTGTTAAGAACTAAAGACTCTCATCCTTTAGGATAGATAGATGTCTGTGTTGTTGAAGCATGTCCACACTGAGTGACTATATGCACATAATAGTTGACTGTCTAAATCAGTGCCGTGTGTGCGAATGGAATGTGTTTCATGATTCTACTGACCTTATGTCCAGAAACTCAGTATGAATGTGAAGGCTGTGCGAATGAGAGGTTGGTGCCTGCAGTGACCTAGCTCACTGCCCAGCCTTGGCCAGTGTGTAGCGGGTGGATGCTTCTGGCCGGCCAGGCCCGGCTGCTCTCAATAAGGTGGTCTTGTTTCCTCAGGGGGATGCAGGCGGGACCACAGGCCCCCCAGGACTCCCAGGCCCAAAAGGCGAGGCCGGCCCTCCAGGGAGAAGCCTGCTTGGGGAACCGGTACGTGCCAACCTGCCAAGAAATGGCTGGAAACAGCTCTGAATGTGTGCTGGAGAGAAAAATAACTCGCGGGATGTCTTCCACATGATTCGGGGAGGAGTCGGGGCCCTCTGAATCCTGAGCATAGATTTTTTTCCCCCTTTTTGCCAATATTGAAGTTTGAACACAAGCTTATTCTGCTTGCTTGCTCACCTGGTGCTGTTACCTAAACCATGCCTCCAGTCAATACTTTGGCTAATTAATTGGAAATAGCGTGTCAAGGATTTTTTTTTTTTTTGTCTTGGAACCATGATCCTCAGGATCTCAGCCCCTTCAAAAGGTAGTATTGCAGGTAGGAGCCACTGGTTTAAAACCAAAACCTTTCTCTGCCTGAAGACAAAGATGACATTTCCCCCTGGGCTGTGCCCAGGCTGGTGCTGACCGCGTGGTCCTCTGGTGCACTGTGCCAGGCATCTCCCACAAAACTGCGGTGCTTTATTTTTAGTGTTTTTTGTTTTGTTGGTGGACTGGAGTTGAGTCAGGGCTTCAACCTTGCTAGGCCAGTGCTAACCCGTGGGTTGTACCTGCAGCCCTGCTTTTTGATGGCTGTCTTAGAATAAGCTCTTGCTTTCCACCCCCATGGTCCACCCACATTGCTGGAGTCACAGGTGTATGCCAAGATAGACCTTTGCGGGCTTCTCCCAGGGCTGGCCTGTGACCCTCCCAACCTCCTCCATCAAGCCTGAGGCAAACTTTCCTACCTAGACAAGACTGACCATGAACCTTGAGCCTCCCAATCCCAGCCGCTCAAGTATCTAGGACTACAAGTGTGAGCCACTGGCCTCCACTTCATTTTAAAGTAATTATATAAATACCTTTAACCTACTGAGATTTGTCTGAGTCGGAGTCCTTAATTCTTTGTGCAGAAGGGGCTTAACTCAAGTAAAATGAACAACGGATTGGGACTTCTAGACTGTTTTCAAGGTCTTAAGAAGTTGTTTGTTTCTTTTGTTCCCTTTCAGGGGTTAGATGGACGGCCTGGAGTGCCTGGACCCCGAGGCCCAAAGGTACAGAGTCCTCACAGCTGCTTCAGGAGAATAACCACATGGTGGGCTTGCACTAACGGGCCTGCTTCTCCCCACAGGGCGAGCGAGGGCTTCCCGGGATCCATGGCTCCCCAGGGGACGTGGGGCCCCCAGGGGTAGGAATTCCCGGCAGAATGGTAAGTGTGATCCACTCAAGTACTTTTTATTTGTGTATGTGCCAGTATTAAGGCTTGAACTCAGGGTTTCCCACTTTCATTTGGCTCTGTTACTCACGGCTGGTGCTCTACCACTTGAGCCACAGCTCTGTTTCTACCTTTTTTGCTGGTTCATTGAAGATAATCTCACAGACTTTTCTGCCCAGGCTGAGTTTGAACCATGGTCCTCAGATCTCAGCCTCATGAGCAGCTGGGATGAAAAGTGTGAACCTCTGGCACTGGGTTCCTCCTCCTCTTCACAAAGCCAGCAAAGCTGCCTTGGGAGAGGGGACATTGGGCTTGGGAATCACTGGGCTTAGGGGGGCCACTGGCAGGACTGCTCCCCACACAGCATCCACACAGGAATGTGGGGACTCAGTTTATGACTCCAGAACTTTAGGAGGACACATCAAACCATAATAGCAAAAGCAGAAGCAGCCATTGGAGATGAGAAATTGTTAAACAAAGAAAGTTACTAAGGAGATAATGAATTTAAGGAAACAATCCACTAGGGTCACAGTGTAAATTGGAAGGGAACAAATGGCTTTCACAATGGCAGTGATAAAAACACTTATTTTAAAGATAAGAAAAGAAAATTGATGATGAGGTCTTTACTTGGTGTAGGCTGTGAGTTCCTAAATCCCTGGTCCGTGGCTATGAAATGAAGATAGAATCAATGTCATTATGGTCTCTCATCATCTCAGCTTCATTTAAGTTTGTCCAAATTCTAGTTTTCTAAAAGTAGGAAATAATAACAGATAACGTTTTAACTCAAGTCCTATGACTAAACCCTGGTTCCAGTGATTTCTGTGAGAAGGAAGATGGGAAAGGAAGCACTGGCGGTTTGTGATCAGGTAGAGTTCAGCCACTGTCGAGTCTCACTGTCAGGAACAAATGAGAGATGCCCCAGGGATCTGAGCAAATTGCTGACACCCAGCCACAGGTGTGTAGTGGAGGATGGCCAGGGCACAGTGTCCAGAGTGTGGAGAAATCTTTTTACAAAACCGGTGATGTGTGGACAGTCCTGGGAGAATTGTAGTAACCATTGCTCATTTTACACAGGGCTCCCCGGGACCAGCCGGAGAGCCAGGTGTTCAGGTAGGCTGTCAGCACAGCAAATCTGATTCTTATTTAGAGGAAATAACTGAAAGTCCTTTTAAGAGACTTTTTATTTTCTTCCTTTTCTAGGGCCCACGAGGTCTCCCTGGGCTGCCAGGAGCCCCCGGGAATCACGTAAGGCTGCTCTTGACTAACCCTCCATTCCAACACCCTGTAGCCAGGCCAACCACAGGTCTGACCCCCACACCTCTGTTTGCAGGGAGCTCCGGGGAGAGACGGGAACCCAGGCCCCCCGGGCCCACCAGGAGAGCCGGTACGCAGACAGCCTGGGCCTGACTTGTGTATCTTTAATACATTAGGAGTCAAACTGTCTACCTAATGGGTTCTGTTGTCCAAACTAATTAGAATTCTTGATGACTACACGGTGATCTTTTTTATCCTGTTATTTTGTAGAGAGGGAAAAAATGTTCAAGCTGGGTGTGTGTGTGTGTGTGTAATGCTTATTTCCTAAGGGTAGAATTCAGCTGTCCACTTTTGCCCAGGGCTAAGCCCCAAAACCTAATGTCTTAGTTCATGGGAAACACAGATAAAATATATGCTCCAATTCCCGTTCTTCCTAATTCTAGTAAGGGAATTCGATTTTTCTAAACAAAAGTTTTTGGGTAAGTTCCCTATGGGTACTTTGGTTCTGTGGCTTTGCACTTCTGAGCTGACCAAATTATGAAATTTGGCTCAGACACTGAGCATGTGTTCCAGAGTTTTATTTTAGGATAAACCTTGCTTTGAGCAACAGTGCAATCCCTTTAAATAGCCTCAGACTCTGCCATTCTCATTTGAGAGCCATACGGTCATAGCATTGCATTAAGAGTTTTGTATAATAAAATCCAAAGCTGATTTCTGGCTCCTAAACCTCCCCAGGCCCTTCTGCCTCCCACCGGGCTCATGCCATGCCTAGCAGGGACGCTGCACAGAGCCCCCTGTGGCCAGCATCAGCTCTACTGCTGGGCTCCTGGGGACCCCACCCTGCCTGGAGCCCAGAAAGGGCTCTGTGGGCACAGAAAAGACTCGGAAAGAAAACTGATTTAGACTTGAGGCCAGAACACAAGCCATGCTAGCTATGTTGGTCTTCTCCAGCATTAGAGCAGTTTCTTTGAACTTCCATGAGAACCAGCTGGAAGGCAAGTCCATTCATCTCATAATCGTTTCATTCCTCCACAGCTCAGCAGTTCACTTTGCAAAGGGCAACACTCACTCTTTGGATGAGTCATTCATTACTCTTTTTTTGGGGGGGAGGGGGGTCCGGTCATGGGGCCTGAACTCGGCCTGGGCGCTGTCCCTCAGCTCTTCAGCTCAAGGCTAGTGCTCTACCACTTGAGCCACAGCGCCACTTCTGGCTTTTTTCTTTTTGCTTATGTGGTGCTGAGGAATCAAACCCAGGGCCTCAGGCATACAAGGCAAGCGCTCTATCACTGAGCCACCTTCCCAGCCCCTCATTACTCTTTTTGTGTGTGCTGGTCCCAGGTCCTGAATGCAGATTGTACTCAGGGCGTGGCACTGTCCCTGAGCTTTTTGTGCTCGAGGCTCTACCACTTGAGCCACAACTCTACCTCTGGCTTTTGACTGATTAATTGGAGCTAAGAGTCACAAGGACTTTCCTGCCCCTCTGTCTTTGAACCTCAATCCTCAGAGCTCAGCCTCTTGAGCAGTTCGGGTTACCGGTGTGAGCCTCTGATGTCTTGATAGATTTATCTTTATACATTACTGAAAACCAGAAATGTGGTAGGAAATCATGCGGGTTGGTATGTCATGAAGCTAAAGCATATGATAGAGTTGAAACAATGTCTAAATTTACATGTTCATGTGCAAGAAAATGACTTATTTCTCAGAAAGTTCTGAGTGTTGTCAGTGCCACCCATGGTTTCTTGACTTGGAACCATGCTAAGCTGTTGACCTGGCAGTGAGGGTCTAGAAGCCCTTCGTCTGGCATGATGTCTGTGTGTGCACATGGCCTCCATAGCATGTGCTCTGTGCTGTCTGTGTACGCATGTACATTCCTGTTCCCTCTCCTCTTCCCTAACGACAGGTTGCACTGCCTCTCCTGGGAGATGTCGGCGCCTTGCTCAAGGTATTCTGCAACCATGGAAGAAGTGTCAGATTAATGTAGGAAAAATAAGGAAGGAAATTTTCACCAGAAACTGACTTAATTGCTTAGCTTGAAGACCAGTTGCATTGTTAAATGGCAGAACATTGTTAAGATAGAAAAAGGCCTGTGCATTTCCATAAACTGTGCCATTCTTTCTCTCCAGTCTTCTCCTTCTTTTTGGCTTGGGAGGGAGAGGGAAGATGAGCCACAGGAAAGGAATGAGAAGTCATGTCACGACACCTAGTAGGTGCTGTGCCTCTCTGAGCAGTGACTATTGGCCTACTTGTCTCTGTTATGAACCCTAACCCTCTGGAGAGGAGAGGGAGAAGGAGGGAAGAATAAGAGGGGGAAGAGGTGAGGAAGAGGAGTTTATTTATATGAGTTTATTTATTGATATATACCAATACTGGGGCTTGAACTCAGGGCCTGGGCACTGTCCCTGAGCTTTTTTGCTCAAGGATGGTGCTCTATCTCTTGAGTCACAGCTCCACTTCTGGCATTTGGCTGTTAATTAAAGACAAGAGTCTCACAGACTTTTCTGTTGGGGCTGGCTTTGAACTGTGATCCTCAGGTCTCAGCCTCTTGAGTAGCTGGTATTACAGACATGAACACTGGCACCTGGCGTGTGTATCCCTGCTTTAAGAATTGTCTTCTTGAAGAGCTGGTGCCAGCTAACAGTTCGGAGACAGTTTGCTGTAGCATCTTCTCCCATCATGTAACATTTGTGCCCTCAGGGGTCACATTTTCGGGACTGTTCTTTGAGTTAAAAATATTAGATTGCAAATAGCCATGGGTTCTAGCCAGCTTCTCCTCAAGGGCCAGTTTCAATGTTCTTTATATATTTAAATATTTTGCCCTTTAATGAAAAAGATGGAGAAATAGGAACCTCCAGTCCCAGCCTTCTGATGATGGTTAAACTATATCACACACTTAGTGGCCCTAATTGTATGCCTTTGCCAGTCATGTTCTTATTCCAGACTTACTTAAAAGCAAGCCTTTCTCAGGACTTTTCCCTCCTGCTGTTTCCTTAGGGAGGTGATAAGATTTAAGTTTATCTCAAGAGCTCTGGCACTTAACTGTCAGCTCTTCCAGTTAACTAAAGGTTGTGGAGAAGGGAAGAGGACTTCCACTTGGGTTTTCTGTCTTCGGGATTTGACACTGGGGTCGTGTCCTGGTCCCTGGGTCCACTGACAAGACGCCCAGAACTCTGCAGAATACCAGTTTCCTGCCAAAGGAAAAACCTTTTCCTACCAGTTTCTTCTTTCCGTGTCATTCCATGCCTTATCTTATTGGTGGTGTGAGCTCTTTCATAGCTGTTTATTCCAACCTTCAATATTAGCTCCCTGACCTTTTGAGGGGAGGTGCTGCTCCTGGGGCTTGAATTCAAGGTTTGGGTGCTGTTCCTGAGCTTTTTCACTCACAGTTGGTGTTCTACCACCTGAGTCACAGCTCCACTGTAGGCTTTTTGGTGGTTAATTGGAAATAAGAGTCTCACAGATGTTCCTGCCCTGGCTGGCTTCAAACCATAGCCCTCAGATTTCAGCCTCCTAGGAGCTAGGATGACAGGCCTGAGCCATGAGCACCTCCTTTTTTGTGTTCTATTTTTTGTTTTTTTGGGTTTTTTTGTTTTTGGTGCCAGAAGTAAAGTTTGATCTCAGGGATGATACTCTTGCTTAGATTTTTGCTTAAGGCTACCTGTTGCTCTACCATTTGAGCCACCGCTCCACTTCCAGATTTTCAGTGGCTAATTGGAACATCTCATAGACTTTGCTGCCTCAGGTTGGCTTTGAACCACAATTCTCAGATCTCAGTTTCCTGAGAAGTTGAATGCTACCAGCTCCTGTTTTAAACATGTTAGTAAGCAATAGAAATTTATATTTTTGAGACATGGGGTTTTTTTCTTATCTATTTGGAATCTTCCTTCTAAATATCATCAAGATGTATTTGAAACAAAACCTCATAAATTCATAACTTCGTGAAAGCTTATGAATTGATGAGCTTTGTAAAAATCAAATTCCTCAAAAAGTAACTTTTTGTTGTCAGGTAAATGCATTTCTGAGAACAGAGACATCGAAAGTGCTGCAACCTCATATGCAGGCTGCACGGGTGGTTCATGCCTGTAATCCCAGCTGCTCAACAGACTGAGATCTGAAGATTATCGTTCAAAGCCACCCCAGGCAGAAAAGTTTCTGAAACTCTTTTTTCTTTACTTAACCAGAAAAACGTCGGAAGTGGAGGTGTGTCTCTAGTGGTAGAGCACTAGCCTTGAGTGGAAAAAGACAAGTGAGAGCATGAGTCCTTAAGTTCAAGCCCCAGTACTGGTGTGCATGCACACACACACATGCGTACACACATGCACACACAAATACACATAAATCCCCAAGTCTCACATTCATAATTTATCTGTGAATCTCTCATAACCGACTTTTGTTCTCATTAGAACTTCTGTGGCAACTGCCAAGCCACTGTCCCTGCCGGGGAGCCTGGACAGTATGAGTCTGTGGCCGGGAAGGTAAGGGGGCTGGCCAAGCGCGCGGACCCAACCCTGCAGACTTCCCCCCCTCAGTTCTGCCCTCTCTCTCCTACAGGGTGACATGGGGCCACGTGGGCCTCCTGGGATCCCGGGAAGGGAAGGACCACAGGTAAGAAGGCTGCTGTGGACTCCCAGTGTGTACATAAAACTCTGTGGACTCAAGGTGTGTAGGAGAAAATACACTATTTTAGTGTCTAAAATACAGTCTTTTAAGCCCAGTGCCAGTGGCTCATGCCTGTAATCCTAACTACTCAGGAGGCTGAGATCTGGGGATTGTGGTTCAAAGCCAGCCCAGGCAGGAAATTCCATGAGACTCATCTCCAGTTAACCACCAAAGAACCAGAAGTGGAGCTGTGGCTCAAGTGGTAGAGTGCCCGCCTTGAATGCAAAAGACTTCAGGGACAGTGCTCGGGCCCTTAGTCAGGCCGCAGGACTGGCACTACACACACACACA